GAAATGCTATCGTCTCTGTCTAGGTCCTCAGGTACAGCAGGCAGGGAGAGCTGGATGACTGAATCCTACAAAGGAATCTAAGTAAGCCTTGGCCCCAGTTGCTAAGCACCGAAAAGGAGTAGGGGGAAAGCTCAAGGTGATCAGGTAGGGTGATTACAGGTTGAGAGCCAGGGAGGAGCTAGAGGAACAAAGGGAACAGAGACTGTTTCCAGGAAGGTGAAATGCATGCGCTTAATTTGGGGAAACTAAGCTTAGGCAGAGGTGGAGACAGGTATGAGGTGGGGGAGATCCCAGCATGAATATGTCACCCTCCCCTGCTCGCTGGGTGACTGTCCCATTGATTAAACTCACCTCTTCCCCCACCCCGTTTCTGGACATAGCACTACTGACCTAAAAAGAAATCCATTACTGAAAGCCTTCCCCTGCTAAGGCCCTACTATCAGAAAGTAAACAAAGTACAAATCCCTAGGCGTTAGCTCAGGGAGGAAGCATCAATAAACCCACGTGCAGGGCACCACCAGTGGCTCACGTGTCCCTGGAAAATGTCAGGGACAGCTCGATGGCCTCTGGCTAATGCTAATTGTAGCTACAGCCATGCCGCCCTAACCCTGACTCTTACGAAATCACCACAGGGTGAAAAATGCCCCAGAGGCCAAGACTCGGAAACACACATTTTTATAGCCAAACCCCGTCTAATTGTGTGCTTATGAATCTGGCTTCTGTTGTAGAAAACCTCCCTTGTCCACTACGTTTGCCTCTGCTCACCCAAAGAGGAAGTGCAGGCTAATTCAGGAGGCTGCTATCCTAGCCTCAGGCCTAGTCTATCTGACCCACCCAATAAGGTCTCACAGGATATTTTTAAAGAAATAAATTTTTGACAGTGTTGGGAGTTAAAGCCAGAGCCTCGTGCATGCCGGGCAAGTGCTCTACCACTGAATACACTCGATGTTCTAAAGGCATTTTAATTAGTTACCAACATTTTAAAATTTGGAGAATGTATATGAAAAAAAAATCCAAATATTGGTGCTATTTTTTTTCTTAAATCAGAAAATCTTAGTGTCAGCCTTCAGTGCAACCATAAACTGGTCATTCCTGGAGATGCCACTGTCACCAGTACCCCCTTTTATACGACAACACTGAGACTGGACACCCATTTTTCTTTCCTATAGCCCAACTCTCAGTTTATTCCGTTTTCCTTCTGCCAGGCTGCTGAGCCGGCTGAGTTCTCATCTGACCTTACACTGACTCTGTCCCCCCTTCCCTTCCAAATGTAACCCGTATTTGGCTCTTTCTAAAGATCCACCTCCTAGTCAGAGCAGGATTTAACAGAGGGCACCGTAGGGATCTCAGTGGGCAGGCTGCTGGGAGTGGGCCCTAGGCATCTGCTGAAGCTCCTGGTGTTACAGTGGGCAACTAATTAAGAAACTTGGCATCGGGGTTGAGATGTAATAGGCTAGCTTAGCAAAGGGCAAGCTCCCCAGTATGAATGTGTGTCAGTTAAGGCAGATGAACATTCCCCAGGATGTGTGGGAGGACCTGCCATTACTGGCTGTCCTTTCGGGTGTCATCTTTAAAAAAAATAATAATAAAATAAAAACACAACAACAAAAAACCTCATCACAAAAGAGCCTTTTAGAAACACCCAAGTAAGCACGATAGTGGTTCAGGTATCCTGTGGATTCTTGGGATAGTGGTAATAATTCCCCACTTGGCTTATGATCTCCAGCTTCACGGTCCCCATGGAGTTCTCTCATCTACAGTAAGGCTGGCTGATGTTACCTAGCCTATCGATTCCGAACCAGATTTGTCCAGGGCCACACGGTGTGGGTCTTAATGTGAATTCGGCCTGGCTGATGCCTCCTATGCTCAAGAGGACTAGGGAGGAGACCCTCCCCCCTCAGAGTTCCAGGCCCATTTGCATTATGGGGAGCAGAGCAGACACAGAAGGCCAGCATACTGCTTCTGTGTTCTATCTACCCAGGCCTCCCTGTGACCAGAGGGAAGAAGTTCCCAGCCACTGAGGGACATCAATTAACCCATCCTGGACTACAGCGGGACTCACAACACATAGGCTGCCCCTCGCATTCTCAGTATATTTTCTTTTAGACAAGTGGTACCCCAACCCTTGCCCCTACCCTAACCCACTGAAAGTAGGCGATAGCCCTGTGGCATCTTCGAGTGAGGGGAGGAAAGACTAAACACAGCGCCCCCATTCTCAAATCAGCCCTCCCTCCTCCTGAGTGATAATACACCTCTTCAACGATCCTGGCGCCTCAGTACAGAGGCAGCAAGCAAGACAGATGACCCCCCGCCCCCCCCCCCCCGAGAACCCAGCATATAATGGAAAAGCAAGCATGTGCCCTACAGTCCCGTGAGAATTCAGCAGCCTGGGAAAGAAATTATTACGCAGGTGACCTCAGCTACAGCCCAGAGGCCAGAACAAAAGAGCAACAGCATCTTGATGGGGGGGGGGGGGGGGTAGATACACTATGACACGGCACAGGGCCTTGGAAGAGAGCTGTGGCCAATCATACTGGGAAGGCTGGTGCCGCAAGGGAAAGGCAAAGCTAAGGGTGTAGCCAGGGAGGGTCCTGCAGAGAACCCACTGTGGAATTTAAATGCATGAAGAACAGGGATAGGTTTCTGAGAGCTGCCCAGGAGGCTGTGAGAGGGAGCTGGAGGACAGTGGCCGACCATCACCATAGAAACGTGAGCAGTATGGAGAAGAAAGGACAGGTCTGTATTGTATCCACAGACTTGCTCCATGCTGTTTTCCAATTGTGTTGTGCCTGCAGTTACCAGAGCCGCTGCTCGGCTCATTTTCTCACTCCATCTGATTCCCTGTTGGAAAAGCAGTTGCTAAGACGTTTCTAGGTTCATACAGCATAAAATAGGAGGAGACACAAGGACAAGGATCTCCAAGTGGCTGACCTACAGAACAACCATGGTTGTCCAAAGGACCACCCAGCTCCCGCTGTGCCCAGAAGAATCATAGGCCTGGTTGTGACCATCTGGACCACTGCTTTCTATCTCAAGGTCCAAAGTGACGTTGAGATCACACCAGACAGACAGTTCTGTTGGAGGGGCAGTTTGTGGCAGTCCTCAGAACACCTTTTATTTGAGCAAACCTGGAAATATTGCATACTTTACTGTAATTGCATGGGTTTCTAGGCATCTGTGACTTCATCTGATCCAGAAGCCAGTGCTTCCTCCAAACAGAGATGCAAGGAACTCCTCTAGGGTTGACTCTGGAATCTTTTGGGTTCCTTTTTTGAGCTGCAGAACAAGCCATGGTGTGTAAAGAGTTTTCTTTGACTTCTTGGAAGCCTTTACATCCCCACCCCTCCTTGCCAGCTAAAGTCGCTGCAAAGAACACACACACATACACACATCAACAAATAATGTTTTGTTCTAGTGTCCTTCCACTTCCAGCATGAATTTAATTAGCTCATTTGAGGTACTGGCCTTCCCTTCAGCGGAAGAGTGGCAAGTTTGAGCCCATGGGATGCAGTCCCATGGAGGTGTTTTGTTTAAAGACAGAAAATCGCGTTCTGGGTCTGGTTTAGAGACACACTGGACCAGCTCAGTGGTCAGCAATCCTGCCTTCGCACTGGAACAGGAGCCTGGCTATTAGAGCCATGCAGCCAGGGTCAAACAGAGCTTTAACCACAAACAGGTAGGGACCACTCAGGGTGAGCTCTGGATCTATACAGCAAGAATCACAACAAGCAGAAGGGTTCTCACTTGCAGAGATTTTTCTAGGTTCTTGTGGAATGTTTGAACCTGGAGGTATCTGGACTATGTGTGAGGGAAAAATAAGGTCCATCAGAGAGAAGTGACTTTCTCAAAGACACAGAGAGCTAGCAACAGAGCCATCTGAGTTATAGACCTCCATCCTCCGGGCATGGGTTCTCATCCAGAGCACAGATGGCCCATTCCCTGCTCTGGCTCTGGCTAAGGCACAGAGAGACACACAGCTGAGCTGTCTCATCAACAACCTGCTCCCTGCCCTTCTCCATGTTTCCTCCCATCTCTCTTTGACAGAGCCCCAACAGCAGGAAACACTGACTCCCTAATCAAGATGGCTAGTAAGATCCAATGACAGATCTTTGGAACTAACGTGTAGACAGAGTCCAGAACTGCAGTCCAGAGCTCCTTGGCTCTGCAGAAAAGCTATACACATGGTCAGGGAAGGTCAGCTGCCGCAGAGGGTGGGGCTTCTGGGAACACTGAGAGGAAAAAAGTCTACCTATATGATGTGGAGAAGACTAATAACCGTCTGTGAGACAGTGGGCACTAGGCAAACATTCCTTAAAATGTGACCAAGCCTGAACACATTTGTGTATGATGGCGGTGGCTCTTTCATGCTCTAACTACAACGTGGTTGCATAGTCATAACTGAAGCCATAGACTTGCAAGCCCAAGAGCATTTATCGCCCGGCCCATTACAGAAAACTGCCAACCCTGCTTCAGTTGTCAATGGGTCTGTGTTCAAGACAAGGTACTGCCGCTTCCCACATGGGGAACCATGGGTGCCAGTTTTTTATCGTGGTGCCCCAGACATCATAGACGCATGCACAGGAAAGCTCCAACTCAAGGCGTAGTCCTGGTTTAATCAGCAGTCGTTGTCAATCTCCCGAGAAGGAAGCCTAGGACATGTGACTTGAAGTCACAGGAGGCAGGAGGTGGGCTGCTGGGCAGAATAGAATTTCTTTCTTCTTGGGAAGTGTTCACAAACACATTTCTTTATTGTTTCTGTGTGTGTTTATTTATAATGTATATCGCTGGTGGATGCATGTGTGCATGTGTGAATGAATGTTTGCATGCGTGTGTTGTACCTTTGCACAACTGGGTTGCTGGTATATTCTACCATGCCTTTCTTTTTTTACATAAGTGCTGAGGAATCCAAATAGATTCTCATACTCGCAAGGCAGGCATTTTACCAGCTGAGCCATCTTCCCAGATCTTATTATCTTTCTTAACTTTTTTTTCTTATCCAGATATTGGCTGACCAACAAAGTTCACATAAAAAGACCAACTACTGGCCTCTTGATGTACACTCTGGCTACACGCTTCTGCAATCAGATCTACCTCTATGGCTTCTGGCCCTTTCCACTGGATCAGAATCAGAACCCCGTCAAGTACCACTATTATGACAGCCTCAAGTACGGCTACACCTCCCAGGCCAGCCCCCACACCATGCCCTTGGAATTCAAGGCCCTCAAGAGCCTGCATGAGCAGGGAGCATTGAAACTGACGGTCGGCCAGTGTGACGGGGCTACGTAAGGATGGCAGCCCGTGGGACTCAGTGGCTCACTTTCCTGCCAGCTACACCACAGGCAGATGGGAGTCGGGGTGGCACAAACAATAGAACAAGCAGGCTAGTGGTTTCCTTTGTTAAAGTGTAAAACAGTGACCAGAATATATATATCTATACCTGCATATATATATTGACCTGAGTATTTATAACTGTGTGGTGTTCATCTAGCGTTAGGCAGATAAGCCACAGGAAGAAGGTGTGGAGAACCCACCTGGACCAGATGGAGACTCAGTCCACCTTTAGGGGGCAGAAGGACTTGACAGGCCAAGAAGCCAGTCCCATGACTTTGGATGACAACCCGCCTCCTGGGTTGGACGGATCTCTGGGCTCATGGATGAATGGAGAGCCACCTGTTGTCAGCTTCCCCGAACCTCTGAGTGATGTGGATTCTGGGTAGCCCAGACCTAGAGAGGACAGTTTGAACCAGTCTAAAGAGGTACAGTTCATGGAGGAGAGACTTGGAGAGTTCCACTGGGCAAAGAGGCACAAGGAGACCAAACATCGGAGGTCACAACAGAGCTGAGGACCTTGTTCAGGAACTTGAGAGTGTAAGTGCCCAAACTACACATGGACAGCACCTGTGTCCCAGAGAGGCCTTCCCAGCTACAGAGACAGGCTGGAGGAAACCCACTCGACAGCCCCATATCCTGGTTAGACAAGGACCACCCAGGACTTAGTAGGGTGGATCGGCAGATGGCCCTAAACAGGTAGAGTGTTATAAATCATGGTTTTAGGAGCTTGAGACCTTCCAGGGGTTTGCTCCGCCTCAGAAAAGAACAAAAGAGTGTTCAAAATATGGTCGTTTTGTTGGGTGTGCTTTAAAGCAACTGAGCCCCACTGAGGAAGAAGTGGTCCTGGGACTTCAACTTCCCCGGTTAGCCTGCATCCCATCTTCCGAGACTGTCACACAGGAGAACTCTACTGTCCTGTCTACCGCCAGAAAGACACAGCGAATGCTTGAAAGGGCACAGTCACAATAGGTCTCATCCTGTTCAAAACATACACAATGGTACACGACGGCCTTTCTAGGCGCCACACGGAGACCCAGACCGGGACACCTGGAGGACTGTGAAGCGCCTGGCTCTAGGTCTGTTTGCTGTTCACATCCTGCACTCTGAGGGTCCCCTGCTATGTCCGTGTCACCTTCTCATCCCTGTTCCATCCTGACAGTCGTACCTGCCACACTAAGCTCCACCGTGGAGACTTTCAACTCTTCCAGGAGAGGTCCTAATGCCCACTTCTACACACCTGCCCACCCTCACCCCCCTACACAAGCAATGACGGCAGAGTTTTGGCAAAAATCCTTCCCCCCCCCCTATTTAGATTCCCACTTAAGACTTGTTTTTGTTGTAAAAACCCAAAGCCAAACACAGAAACACGGGACATAATCTCCAGGGGAAATCTGTGCTCACTACCAGTAACTTAGAGGTTGGGCTTACAGGTCACACGCAGCAAAGCCTTATCCAGCTTGATTTGCTAGATGCAGTCCCTCGCCTGATAAATAACGGTTTTTTAAAACATGTTTGAAAGATAAGAAAGAAAAGTATTATCTGGAAGGTGAGCAGAGTAACAGAAAGTAATCTGGAGCCGTTCCCAAGCCTATGAGGCCTGACGTAATTAATCAACAGCCATTCAGAACACAACATTTTCTCTAAATCAGTGGCTGATGGGAAATGAACAGAGACAATGGAGACACCCTAGAACCATTAACCGTAGTAACCCCGTGTATCGTCCTCCCACCCCAAACCAGGATGATCGATTGTACATCTCCACGTTCCTCTCTTCGTTCCTGGTGCAGTACGAAGCATGTGATTTGGTTTGGGATTTGCATCATAAAATGAATATTTAAAAAAGCAACAGCCCTAACAGCCATCCGGGGAACTGAGTGGTTCAGCCTTCCCCATGAGCAGTGGAAATAATTAGCATCATATTTTACATGTCTCTGGAGCCTTTCATCTTAAAGATCTCAAAGTCTCTAGAAGACATTTAATTTCTAAAGTTTGCGATGCCCTGGAGGAACCAGTAAAATCACCAGCAGGGCCTTGCATTAGTAAAGCCCCTGAATGTCAGACTAGTCCATGTGGCGGCCCAGAGGTCAGGTTCTGGAGGTGACCCCGAGCTCCACCCAGCATCCTCTCTCTGCAGAGGAGGTAGAGGACCAGTTGTCTAACTGGATTTAAGCAGGCTGTAACCTAACCAGAAAAAGTCAGCAATCCCAGGACTACCCGGATATGCCATTTCTCTGACTCAGCAGGTCCTTGGCTATCAACATGATCCGGGCATAGAGCAGCAAGGACTCTATGAACATTAGCTTCCCCTCTCCTTGTTCCCCTCCAGCCAAACTCACAGTCAGCAGCCAACTGCCCTTGACTGCCTGCTGAGAACTCACTTGGGGCTGGCTTTCACTGAAGTCTTTAGCATAGGCTGGCTGACCTAGGCTGTTCCCCAAGAGGCACAGCCTGCCCTCTTAACTTGATTGCTGCCACTGCGGTCAATCCTACCATCCCATCAGCCTCAGCCGGTCCCCTCTACTTTTGGCTGTCAGTCACCTCCTCAGTCCACCCACTTAAGCCTGCCGAACCTCCATTTACTTTGATCCCCCAGTGACTCCACCCTTAACCTCTGCCATCACCAAATTTAAAAAAAAAAAAAAAAAAAAAAAAAAAAAACTAAGCATTTGACATGAGACCTTTCCTCAGACTCTCTTGGCCCCTCCTTTCCACTAATAACCTTCATTCTCCCATTTCTGAGCGAGTGAGGTCCCTCCTCTGGCCAGGGACTTTCCCCGCTCATACCTTCAGTCTCTCCACCGGCCCTCTTGCATTTGGTCTGATTCCTATAGCCTCTTCTTCATTCCTCCACTATGAGACCTTGGCAGGGTCTCCAGGCCCTATTGCCACCAATCCCCCCCCCCCCCCCCCCCCCCCCCCCGACCACACCTTAGTGTTCCTTCCTAGCCCACTCCTGGGACCAACATCTCAGTGCTAACTCAAAAGGCCACTCTTACTGCAAAGTTCTCCCGTGGATTCTCCTGGGCAAGATACTATGTTCTTAAGATTTTACCCCTTTCCTGATCCCAACCTCCATGACCATTTATTTATATATTTATTTATGTATTTATGAGTTATTTATTGGCACTCCTACCTTGAGCTGAGAAAGGACCCAAGGATGATCTGCCCATTTCCCCCTCCCTTCTCCCCGTACCACAAAGTAGCCATTCCTTCAGATAAGATCTCCCCACGGGCCCATGCCCGGTGCATGGGCAGTTCCACGCCTCCCTTCAGACCTAGCTACCACCACCCAAAGACCGCCTCCCACTCCACTCCCCGTAGCCGCTTAGCTCCACCGGATGCTCCAGCCCCCGGATGACATGCTGCTTGGTAAACATACTGTCTGCTCTGACATCTTGAATTCAACACATCTGAAGCTCAGTAGACCATCTTCCCTGCACGACCCCTTATCTTCCCACCAGAACACCAATGACTCTTTCAACATCATCTGGGACCCTAAGGTGACCACTGACTCTTCCATGCATTCCGTCATTCCATCATTCCGCTTTCCAATTAGTCCTGACCTCACTTCTACTAGTCCCTTGGACCCCTTAGTAGTGCTCTCCTCGCCCAGACCTCCCCGAGCATGCGCAATGGTCAGTTCCTGCAGTCCTTCGCAAACCTGCGATAAGATCCCCTGGCCCACAAAAATGTGCCCGTCTTTATCCTGACATTACAGAGCACCCAATCAGGTCCCTTCATGCCCTGCACTGGCCAATTCAGAAGAGTTGTCATTACTGGAAAAGGGGCCATGCTTCCTGGCTCTGTGCTTTTGGCCTTATAGTCCTCGCCTTCTGGATCACTCTTGAGATCCTCCCGAGGCCCCTGCAGAGACGGCATCCTTCATGAAGCCCTTCCTGACCCACCGAGGCTGGGCTCTCTCCCTCCATGGAACCACCACAGCACTTTATTTGTCCCTTTCCCATGGCACTTACCATGCTCTGCCTTGTATTATAGCTACTTGAGCACTTGTCCGAGGCCTGTTCTTAGACTGGAAGCTTGCCAGGGGCAGGCTCTGTTTTGTTCATCTGTATCCATCACAGCGCTAGGCGTGGTGCATAGCACACAATGGTTGCTCAATAAATGTTTGTTGGATTAAGTCCCAGGTGTCTAGAGAGGTCTTTGTAGTGAGTGAAGCCTTTTTTGAGTGTATCATATCACAAGAACCTTCTGAAAAGTCACGTGGGTTGGACATAAGCAGAATAAGTAGGTCATTAAACTGAGGCAGAGGCCTAAATGGAATTTTCACCACAGTTCCGCCCTCACTGTAGGGCTTTTTCTAGAAGTCCATATGGTTAGAGCACTCATTGTAAAACTAAAAACTGACTTTAACTGGATGCGGCCTTGGTATTCCCTGGGCTAAGCTTAGTATGAACGCCAGCACACGTGCCCATCAACACAGGCTGATTTTCACTCTTTCTGGGGAGGACAAACACCATTTGGGTTTTCTCAGACCCCGGGGGCGTTGAGATGTGGGACCTCATTCATCATTTCCACGGCCATGGTTGCAGTGTGGGAAACCATCCATCCAGATGGCAGTGAAGCCAATGGCTCCAAGAGGCTGCTGTTTGATAAATCTCTTCAGGCCTAATTAAGGCTTCCCTTCCAGAATGGAACAGAGACGTTTATTGATGCCAGTCTGACGGGAATCCAGACATGAATGCTGCCTCGTAAACGCCCTTAACAAACAGCCCACCCCCACCCACCCTCTCTCATCAGCCCTCTGGACGCCATCTTGGCCATCTCCATCCCTTCTGCTACTCATCTTCAAAATTGGGGGGTGCAGGTGGAGAGGGGTCATACAGGTCTGTTTCCTGAATGAGCAAGCAGCCACCCCCCAGAGGTAATAGCTAATGTCTCTGTCTCTGTAGTAACCATTCCCTGGCTCTGAGTGTCAGCTTTTTATTATCCGATACCTGAACCCTAACGGAGGTGTTGAGAGATGGCAGTGGGAAAAAGAGGAGGCTAAGCACTTAATACCATCCCT